TTAGGAAAATACAGAACACTGCTTTGTTTTTCCAATTTATTGCACAATATTGATGGGAATATTGTACTTCGGAAAATACATATAAACTACTGTTCACAAGTTTGAGGTTGGTAAGATTTTTTTTTATGTTTTTCAAAGATGTCTCTTATGCACACCAAGGCAGCATTTATTTGATCAAAAACCATAAAAACAGTAGGCTAATATTGTAAAATATTTGAATTTAAAATAGCTACTTTCTATTTTATTATATTTAAAAATGTACTTTATTCCTGTGATGGCAAAGCTGAATTTTCAGCAGCCATTACTCCAGAGTTCACATGATCTTTCAGAAATAATTCTAATGATGATCTGGTGAAATTTTGAACATTTCTTATTATTATCAACATTGAAAACAGTTGTGCTGCTTAATATATTTGGAAACTGTGAAATACTTTACATTCATGAAAGAATCCTGAAAAGCTCAAAAGAAATGCATTTATTAAAAAATGAAATATTGTGTGTGTGTGTGTGTGTGTGTGTGTGTGTGTGTGTGTGTGTAAAATATACACGTGTATTTTTCAAAATAAATAAATTATTATTATTATTTATAATTATATTACACTCCATTGCATTATAAATAGAACAAAACCCATTAGTCCTGAGAAACCAGACTCACTTCTTGCAGGTTTATAAAGGCAAAACATGATGAGTAGCACATAGTCGTCACATCAGTCAGCTAAAGCTTGCATTTACACAAGCGTTTTGAGCTGAGCATTCCCAACTGTTAATGAAACAGCTCTGCAAAGTGCTTAGAATGCTGCTCCCACCACCATAACATGGACAAAGTGTTGTAAAAGCTAAACACAAACAGATAAACAGCAACACATGTACATTTACTTTGCTGACACAAGATATCTTTGAGGAAAGCATGCAATAGATAATGATAAGTTTGAGTACAGTACACATTTCCCCATAGTTAAAAGAGAGTTAGTTCTTTGCACAGCACTTTGCTCGACATCTTTTCTTCATGTTTTCTCAATGCCAGACTGATTTGTCCATTTAGTTAAGCTGCAATGAGTCATTCTAATTCAAACATCCTTCAGCTCTGAGGTTCTCCTAAACCCTCTCAAATAAGCAGCCCAATTACAGCACTCATATTCCCTGCCAAGATTACTCTATCTTGAGATACACTATTTTCCAGCAAATCCCTGTCGGAAAACTTAACATTTGACCGTGACCTTTACAATTCAAGCAGAACTAATTGGTTAGTTGTTACACAGCAAACAATATTTTTTAAATACAAAAAGGTGGAAGAAGCCATCAGTTTTTGTCTGAAACACTACATCTTCAACATATAACAGTCTTCACTACACCACCCAAATTTCTTATCTTCCAACTATGTCAGAATACCCTAAATGGAATTTAAGTCTTGCAGATGTGGGCTAACTTTGCATTAGCCTTGCTGTCTGAGACAACATGCCCATTCAACTGAAAATATCAATGAATTCCTATCAAAAAAAGAAACTACTGTTTGTTCCAGAGGTGAATCACATTAGTACAGCCACTGAGTGGAAGGTTTGTACACTCTCTACCTCCCCACAATGGCTTTCTGAACAGCACTGCCTTATGTCATTCTGTTTTGCATGTTTTTGCATAGACTTACAAAGCAAATGCTGTTCTCATCCAGAGATTCAAGGTCATTAACTCAAACTCACATTATCAGTCACTGATGTATGAGAAGAGAGAAAAAAAATGAAGAAACACAGACAGTGATGTGCTTTGCCATTTCAATTCGAACATTTAAATTATTTCCTCATTTCACAGAGCAGTGTGATGACTTGAAGGCATTCACCAAGCACACATGAAAAAATGCAAACCCCTCCACATAAGGAAAACAGATGGCTGCTGGAGAGAATCAAACTTTAATATTACAACACACCTTGTTTCATTCTGATGTGGCTGACACTGTATCTTGAATCACATATGCTGTTTTCACCAACACAAATTAAGCTTAGTCTACTGAGAGAGATTCATTTCATTTTTAAAACTGTCTGAAGATATTACAAAAAATCTAATTTTGTTTGACAAGGCTTACAGCATTTAAAATAAGCTGGAAAGCAAGTATGAATGGATGAATGTTAATCAAACGGGACCCTCTTCTTCAATCAAAAGACTAAATGACATCTGTAAATATTAAAAAAAGAAAGGAGGGTGGAAATGTGAAGTCACGGGCATTAGAAAGCCAAAATAAATCTTCTACAGTGATGCATTGCTCCTAAGACTTAGGGTGCTTTCACACCTGGCCCGTTGTTTCGGAACCTGGCGCGTTTCCCCCCTTAGCTCGGTTCGTTTGGGCATATGTGAACACGGCAATCGCGCTCGGATCCGCGCCAGAACAATCGGTCCGAGATCGCCTGAACAAGGTGGTCTCGGCTTGATTGAAAACGAACTCTGGAGCGGTTCGGTTGTAGTGAGAAAGCAATCCGATCCAACGGACCAACGAACCAGGCTATATCACAATGTATGATGGTTAATTACATAAGTTCCGTGAAAAGAATTAGCTTTGCTGTTTTGCTAATACCTCAAATTGAACCTGGGAATGTCTGTGGGTGAGCACGTCTTCGCCATTCAAAAATCAAAGCGCACTTTTTCATTTTATAATGCTGTCTTATTGCTCTTCTTCGTAGTAGGTGCATTTTAAAAATGTTTTCCCGATCGATTCTGGACTCCTGCTCAAAATGATAAATTAATATAAGACAGCTACAAAAAAAAAAACAATAAGCCAGCAAAGCTGTTGTCGTTCCATCCAGACTGATGGCATGCATGACAGCTAAGTGGAATCCCGGAAAATAAACCATGGAACTTTGACCAACGAGAGAACAGTTTACTCGCGTGTGACTTGTATTAACAAATTTGGTCCGTTTAGAAACTTTGCCGTGTGAAAACGAACCGCACCAAGAATAAAAAGCAACATTGTAATCATTTTAGTCCGTTTCGGAACAAAGCAATCGATCTACAGGTGTGAAAGCACCCTTAAACATCTAATAGGAAAACTAATCACATGTCTGGACGGAAACGTTCCAAACCTTTCCATTTCACCATCAAGAGTAATACGTGTAAAACAATTTGTAATTACCTTACAAATGTGCATTCAATTTGTATTCATACACGGAGTGTCTTCACTAGTTAGGTAGGTCAGATATCAATATATTATCCCACACTGCCTGTCTCCGTTAAAGAATAGATGAACTAATGAAATCCGACTTTGATCTCATGCCTTTTGGGAAAGAAAAGCTTCAACAGTGCCCCAAAAAAAAAGAATTCAATATGAGGCTATTCTATGAAGTAGTTGCTTTGGACCCGATGGGTTTACACAATAACAATTCAGTCCAATCACATCCAGGCAATGTGCAACCTATGTTTACAGGTACATGGGCTGTTATCAGTTTGGATGTTTATCTTGCTCCTTACCTTCAATTATATTGTCATTTCGGCATTAAATATTTAATGTGTTATTGCTTGTTATCAGAGTTGTAGTAAATATATGACCATTTCAAAGAGTTATGCATCATTGTTCTCCAAATAATCACTGTTAGAGTAGCATGGAATTTGCATGCTACCTGATGCAGGAAATTGGAAATATGAGTGGCATACAACCACTCTGCCAATCAATAACAGCTCATTGCTTTAGCAGCTATTGAAATCTTGATGACAACACATGGGACAAAAAAAATACAATGGAAGTCAAGGGGAACTGAAGCTGTTCGGTTATCAACATTCTTCAAAATATCTTTTTTTTGTGTGTTGAAAAATTCATACAGGTTTGGAACAACATGAGGGTGAGTTAATGGAGACAGATTTTTTTTTATTTGTTGGGTGAGCTATCTCTTTAAGAGCATCAGGCTAGATTGGATGTAGTTGGCCTCAGTAAGACTGCAAAAAAAATAAAATTAATGAAAGCTGTATCACAACACAGGCTAGAGCCCAAGCTATACGTATACACTGAAATTCTATCACCAAAATCAATATTTTGAGCACAGAGCTGCTTTAATATGCACAAAAATGCCTCCAGCTGACTTTACAGGCTTAATGTCAAGTCTGGGAATCTTTCAGAGACTGTAATGCAATTTAGGATTCACATCATTATTTTTCTATGCTTTTTTTTGTTGTTGTTGCATTTTTCACTGTCTAACACATATAACAACCAGAGTTCAGTTTAAAATATTGATTTGTGAGTGCAAAGCAAACCCCTTTAGAGCAAAAGGGAAAGCCAGACCTTAATGTAAGGGCACCCATATTCTCATTTGTCTAGAGATCAAAGGTTTTTAAACACTGTTATAAACAGTTAATAAACAGTATTAATTTTACAATATAATTTAGGTTTTTATACAAGAAACTACATAGATGTCTTTTAATTTTTATGATGGGGTCACTGGCACGCGTGATCATATTTGCTGACATCTAAAAGATTGAAAACCCCTGGTCTAGACCAAAGAAAACAGTACGTTACACGTAAAACCTCAATCGTATGTTGTAGTTTTTGATCTGCACCAAATCAACCTCTATTGCTATAACCCATTAAGGAACACGAAACGTACTGTCTACGTTTTTGACTCTGTTTCTTTGCATACCTCACCTTAAAGGGTCATTTAACGATAAAATCCAGTGACGGTTTACTAAGTGTATAGGCTACACCTTTAAAAGTAGGCTACAAAATAAACAGTCCGTTTATTCCCCCGAGACTGTACGGTCTGTAAATAAATATCACATCCTAATCGATTCCTACGTTCAATGCACACCAGTATATTAGTACTTAATAGAGCAAACTGCAAAAAAATACCCCCCTGTAAACGTGAACTACTTAATGTAACGTTACTAGCTATTTAGTAGTTTATTACAGAAGAGGACGCGAATGCACGCGCACACACATTCTAGCCGCTCCACTTTCCCCGCTCGTGCAGGCGTTTCACTAGCAAGTTATGAAGAAGTATAACAGTAACCCGCAATGTTTAGGCACTTACCGGTGGTAGAATACTGGAAGTAATCGAGAAATTGAATATTGGGGTGTCAGTGTAGCTCAGCACCGCTCTCTCCAGTGATCCTCCTCGAAGACCGCAGCGAGCCAGCTGAGAAACCCGGTGCCAGAGAGTCGCATCGTGAAATTAAGAGATTTAAACGAAACAGACCCAAAAGTCCAGATGAAACTGGTTTGTGCTCCAGAAAATTGCACTTCAAAGAGGTGAAATTATGAAGGTTCATTAAAAATCTCCTTGTGGGGAAGGGGTTTGTCGAGCTAGCTTTGCAGCTAGCTACAACCAACCAACCAGCTGTTCGCGCGGCGTTCCTGACAGAACTTTTAAAAAAATATGACTGAATATGTGGCTACATTTGTCACGTATCTGCCGTCCATTTTAATGTTTGCGAAAATATATGAAGAGAGGTGTGCTGTCCCGTCGGCTGAGCCCCGCGTACCGCCACTTACCACCGCCGGAGACTTCGGCTCAACATTCAAAAGCGTGACCGGCCGCGCAGGGGCGATCCATGCGCCTCACCGTGACTACATAAAGTGTGATTGGCGCAGAAGTCTAGATGTGCTGTTATCAGGTCAGAAGCACTGTATTGAATGAATGAATTAATTCTTTCACTTTTATGAGTATTTCTTGTTAGGGCTCGATGTAGGACTTTTCAAGATCATGAAATTGTCGTACTGTGCTCATTTTCTTAAAATATACCGACATCATGTCAATCGGGCACTGACTGTTACTGTACACATTATTTATGCAATACTTCATATAGCCTACATTGCTCCTATAGTGCAATATATGCAGTGAGAGTAAAACATGATTGTAATAGGGTGAAAATGTGGTGCACTTAGGCCTACAGCACTCTATTATATCCATAGGCAACTGTAACAAGGAGCAAATTTAACACACAAATCACTGATTCTTGAGTACTGGGACCAAACAGGCAACAAACCTGAAAGAAATATAAGATACATAAATAATGTGTTAAATGTTTATTATAAATAATGACAATTATTCACTTCAATGAATGAATGAATTGGGTCTACACATTCTTTAGAAGTGGTCTTCAGCTCCATCTATTGAACTGTCACCACAGTCAGACAGAAACAATCCTATGAAATGATAATAATTTAACTGGTGTTGTTTATATTGCCGACTTTAGGGTATCATCTGTACATTATTATTTGAGATCATTTACGTTATACTTTGTCTTGTCTATTGTGTTTGTTTGTTTTTTTACTCATAGTACTCAGATATAGTGACTTATATAAGAAACAAATATTTTCAGGACTTTCATTTTTCCACATTTAAAAAAATAATAATAATAAAACAATCTTTTCATAAATATCTGACAGTGTTGACCAAAAGTAGGAACACAACTGTGAAACCTTATATAAGAGGTTCATTTTTAAAATAAACATTGCCCTCCTGTCAGGACATAACAGTGTTTCTTGAAAAGATTCATAGTTATTTCTGTTTTTTATTAAGTTTAATATATTTAAATGTAAAGGAAGTATTGAGTTATGATCTGAGAACAGGTTTCAAGGGTAGTGACTGATAATGTCATAAAAAATTACATTTGTGCGATTACCTCATTAATTTCAGTTGTTAATCTTTCACTATTGCCTTTTTGAAAACAATTTTCAAGGGATAGTTCACCCAAAAATGAAAATTATGTCATTTACTCACCCTCAGGTTGTTCCAAACCTGTATGACTGTCTCTGTTCTGTTGAGCACAAAAGAAGATATTTTGAAGAATGTTGGGGGGAGGGCATCTTCTTTTGTGATCACCAGACAAAATAAACTTATGCAGGTGTGGAACAACTTGAGAGAGAACTATCCCTTTAATAGTACAATCTTCACTGTCCTAATGTAAAATATTTTTTAACACCAAAATATAACAGGTATAGTATAAAGAAAATTAAAAATGATAACCCCCAGTCTTTTATATAAGCAAACTCAAACAAGTATGCTGTAATTTCCTTGTCTCTTTTATTATATCAAAATACAAAACATTTTTGAAGCAGGGAAAAAATTACATGGGTCTAGCATCTGAAAATGTCAATGAGCTGTACCAGTACTGAGTGATGTGAACTGAAGTGATGAGGGTGAGGTCAGTATGTACTACTGTAGTCTCTTTTTTTTATAGTTATTATTATAATTGTATTTATTTATTTATATACTTGGCAGCTCCACTTGAATCTATTCTATCTGAGCTAAAGCAACTCTGATTGTCTTTTAAAAAAAGCATAATTTCCTTGCTCCACTGTGTCTGAGGCTGTATAGCTGTTAGTCAGTTTAGAGCTACCGGAGAATGATCAACCGTAGCAGTCAAAGTATTGATTGAAACTCAAAATGTAAGGGCAGCTATTACAGAATGGTGCAATTAATAAAAGCACTGTACAAGAGAGGTTAACTGAGTTAACCCTATAGGTGCCACTTCAAATTTCATTTATCTGAAACATGAAAGCACATCAAAACAATACAGCAAAGCTATTGAACAGCAGTGACAACAATACAAATGAGATTAAATGATACAGAACAAAGCGGATTTCCACATTCCATAGTGTGTTGTTTAACATGTTAGACATTTTTTTTTAATTTTCACCCAAAAAATGAAAATTGTGTCCTTTATACTCATCATAAATTACACGTGCTCAATATAATTTGTAGAAACATGAAGATGAGTAAATGATGACAACCATCTGAAAAGGGATTTTTTTTTTTTTAAACAACAACAACAATGACACACTATAAAAATCCTGGTCTTGTTTATGATCTCAAATTACAATTTGATGTTTAATCCATTTTAGTTTCTGTGCAGGCAAAGGTTGAGAGTGTACAGCATATAGATTGAAACCCACATCAATGGAAAATTAAGGCATATTAATGCCATTTGATTGACTCTGAATGAGGTCGTATTGTGATGTGTAAATCTGCAAATGATACTACAAATGAAATTAAAAGAGACTGTGATATTACAAAGTATTACACCAGTACAACCTATGCTGAAGCTACCAAAAGGGTTAACATTGTTATTCTACAATAATAATAATAATAAAGCAAGGAAATGATAATATCACAAATTAAGGCCCACAACAAAAACACCTTTTAACAAAAAAATAAAATAAAATAACCTTACCAAATGAAAACTGCCAAAACTATTTTGCACCATAATGATAACCTCTTATAACCTCTTTGTTTTCCTGACTGCCAAGTGTCTGGTTCCAGTATTTTCTAAATGCCGAAGCTCATCTCTAGTTTTTGGTTGCACATTCATGTAACATAGTACATTTTTTCAGGTATTCATGTGTGGTTTTCTCCCATTTACTTTGTAAATCTACAGAAAAAATGGTGAGAAATGGTAGACGCAGAGTTATCTCTGGTCTGGACCACAAAATAGATCAGCAATAGCACCAAGTCATGATATGTTCAATGGTATGGCTGCTTACACACCACACTGAGGTCTCTAGAAAAGATTACGGTGATTGTTAGAATACATACCTACTACAAAAGCAGTTTGCATCATTTTGCTATTCGCTAATGACCACACCTTGCTACCATGAGCATCTAACAGCAGAAAGAACGTATACTGTATTTCTCCATAAACAAGACAGCTAAATTGGAACAAATCTTCTCGGTTTTTCTCACAGTACAAAATTAAAGATTCTCCAATCTGCCTTAATTACGTAACTATAAATATCTGTTATTCATACATACAGTACACTGTCAAAATATTTCTACTGGTACAGTCTGTTGACTATAAGAATACAGAATACATATATCTTGGACTGTGCTGCTATACATATTGCAGGTGCCACACATTCTACCCCCACAACAGACCGTCAAACGCCGTTTTAGTCAACAGACACAAGATCTTGTGCTGACTGGTCAAACAGCACTGTAGCTGAACTACATAACAAAAATAAAAGAAGAAATAAAAATCCATCTCTGCAGGTATATTGAACTGCACGATTCGACTCTGTCACGATTTCAGTAACTGGTCATGGTCATTTGTGAACCATTTCAACCATTTAAAATACGCAAATTTCTTTTTATGCACCAAAGTAGTGATAATGAGAATAGTTCATTTTACATAGATCAGGTTCTCTAAAAATGTTCATGAATCATTTATGAAATAATATTCAGCAGATGCTTTCTCTGAAATGGGATTAGACAATGAAAACATGAGCAAAAATGTCACTTTAATATAGGTTTTGTCTCTCATTGTACATTGTGTTGTCACGTTTTTCTTTGATTTTGTATTGCTTGAACCAGAGCTGTACTGTATGAAATGAAACAGAAAAAATGGCAAAAACAATAGATAACACCTTCCACTTTGGTTTGCAATTCTAACAGCATGTGTAACTTTGATTGTTATAATATATTCCATCTGTAGACTGCTACATGTCTCCATAAACCACTGAGACAGACCGTAAAACGACTCTATGACCACTCGTCCATCAACAGCCACAGTGTACCACATATTCTCATTTAAAAAATATACATATAATGCACGATTTGCATTTTTTATTTACACCATGTAGTAGTTCCGGTATGTGTGTCTGCTGTAGAGCTGGTGTCCTGAAAATCCCTATGTGTTTCCTGCAGGCTCATGGTGCACTAAGTGCCATGTGAGGACATGACCGCCACACTCTCTCGTCCTCTACATTGTGCTGATTCCATGCGTTCTCCCTCTCGATCTGAGACTGTGTACCAAAACAATGAGCAGCATGATTATTCATATGCTTTTTGTATCCCTGATGTACGATAAGAGGTCATCTTTTGAGAGATTCACTTCTAGGTTAGTTTGTTAACTCATTAGTGGCATCAATAATTGGAAAAGAGTTGTACATTTGTACATGGATACGTAATATATGCAGCTGTCATGAATAAAAACATAGAAGGAAATGAATGAACACACGGTAAGGGTCATTTTAAGGGTTAAAGCGCTCTGAATTTCATCTGCTCGGACATTTCAAATCGTATTAAAGGCTGTGTTGGGTGTGCAATGCATTATGTCACATAATGTTTTACAATTATATTTGAAAGTGCACATGAATTCATGTCATTGCTCTATTCATCAAACTATCATATGTGTCACTATTCTTTTATGGTGGTGAAGAAAAACCTGTTCCCTTTCAATCAGTCATGTTCAAAGTTACGTCGACACTGACATTTAGGGGTCTCACTTGGGAGCCCCAATCACTTCTGAACAACGTAACGTCGAACGTGATTGACCAAAATGAAACGTCTCGGTTATGTTATGTAACCCTTGTTCCCTGAAGGAGGGAACAGAAACGTTACATCCCTCACGCCACAACTTTGAACTGTGCTGAATGCCGGGATGCTTCTCGGCTCCTCAGCACAATCCTGAATGAGTGGATGCACGCCGCCATCTTATATACCAGTATGTACGGGGAGTGGCTTGGCATGCAAATTCCACTCGCCAATAGTCATTGGCCATTTCTTGTAATACTCAGAGGTGATTGGGGCTCCCAATTGAGACCCCTAACATCAGTGACGACGTAACATCTCCGTTCCCTCCTTCAGGGAACGAGGGTTACCATAACGTAACCGAGACTTGTTTTTTACCTCTGTTAAGTGGTGTCATTGTGATGTTAAAGGGGTCATATGATGCGATTTAAATTTGTCCTTTCTCTTTGGAGTGTTACAAGCTCTTGGTGCATAAAGAAGATCTGTAAAGTTGCAAAGACTAAAGTCTCAAATCCAAAGAGATATTCTTTATAAAAGTTAAGAGTCAACCACGCCCTCCTAAAACGGCTCGTTCTAATATGCCCCCACACTGTTTCCTGATCCTGGTAGATTAGACTACAAGGCCGGCTGTTCTGACTCACAGACTGCAAGTACGTTTTTTATATTTAAAGAATTTGCCACTGATGATTCAAACGTGAGTTTTGAGCAGTGTAGCATTTCTCCGATCACAAATGCAGACATGGTTTTAAGTTTATGCAGCGCGATGCAATGCAACATGTAAAAAGACAGTATAAGTCATTATAATCCGTAATTATGTCCCCACTGGATGCAACAAATGCCTCTTTTATAATGGGTTGTTTAATGTTTTTGTCTCGTTGCTCCGGCAGGGACAGGGCATCACAATATGGCAAGGGGCGTAACATTTCTGTCACACGCTTGAGGTATTCGGCCAATCACAACGCACTGGATAGCAGGCCAATCAGAGCACACCTCGCTTTTCAGAACGATGAGCTTTGTAAAAATCGAGGCGTTTCAGAAAGGCGGGGCATAGAGGAGAAATAATAATGTACAGTATGTGCAAAATTATGTGTTTTTTTTTTACCTTAAACCGCATAAACACATTTCATTACACCAAATACACAAAATAATGTTCATTTTTAACAACATCATATGACCCCTTTAAAAACAGAAATTCTGTCATCATTTACCCCCTCATGTTTTTCACTTTCGTCTGTCAAAGCAAAACATATATTTTTTAAAATGTCTCAGTGCTTTTACAATGGAGTTCCATGTTATTTTGGATTCGACTGACTTTCATTGTGTGAACAGAAACATTCTTCAAAGTACCTGTAATTCTGGAACAACATGAAGGTGAGTAAATGACAGAATTGTGTATCTACAAGTGGCAGTTTTTTTGTGCAATGTTCCTCTCTGTTTAATCAAATAAATATAATAAATACTTATAATAATCAAATAATAATATTTCATTATATGATCAATAAAGAAATAATATCATATCTTGTTGCACCCATATTATGATTGACTGGTTCAGTAACATTCAGCAAAATCATGCTAAAAAGATAATAAATAGAAATCTATTCTTTGTTTATTATGTAAACATGTATATAATAAAACAGGGTTAGACTCTTAAAAACGTCTCTAGACTTTCATAAATTACATTTCAAACATTTTAGCTCTTTTTCTGTGGCAGGAAGCAAACGGCTAAAGTAATGCCAATGGTGGCATAAATCAGCATCCAAACATCTTCTGCAACTAAACAATCAACAGACCAGCTAAAACCGGTTTGCCTTTAAGGAAAGCATCTTTCATTCCAAGATGAAGTAATATTCGGGCATTTGCCAGTTCTGCAAAATGTACACTTTCTTGTAAGTTGCTTTGGTAAGCAAGTGTCCGCTCAGAACATAAATGTGAATGTGATGTAAACATAAGAAAGAACGTGTCATGAAAAAACTAGAAGATGCAAAGCGAAACATGCTGCTAGGATATGAGATGATGATAATAAAACAAAACAAAGGAACAGAGATTTACTAAGATGTTTTTATTAAAAATTATGCACCTCTGAGAATGATCTGGAATGGAAAAATGCTAATCTTGAGATGTTTGATCAAAAGCAATAGAATGTTTTCATAAATGGCATATAAAATCAGTACAGTATAATAATAAATAAAAAAACGAATGCATGAATGAATCTCTACCATGGCTATAATGCTACTAAAAAGATAAAGGCTCATTTCAGAAAGTGTTACAATGAATCTCATCTTACACCGCCCATGAGTCGAATCAAGTTAGCATTAATTGCCTCTCAAAAACAGCTCATTTAACCGTCCGCTCTAGAGTTAGCCAATCTGTTCAACGATTGATGCTACAGTAGCAGAAGTCCCCTGCAAAGCAGAATGTGAGCTAGACTGCTATTCTTTCGGGTTTAGACATAATAAACTTTCACCGACAAAATAAACAAGTTGCAAATTTAATGTGAGAGTGAATGCAAGTGGACTGAATCATTTACAACACATAAATAGCTCTTTTGGCTCAAAAATGCTCTCATGCATTCCAAACCTCATGAAAAGGTAGCATATTAGAAACTGAATCCAAAATATGACAATATGTTTTATATCAATATATTCTGTTGCGTGCATATATTGGCCAATTTATTCAAAATTACTAAAATTTTATCATACATTGTGCAATATATGCTATTATATTATTTACAGATTTTTTTTGACATATTACAGTACATTCCTAGCATTTTGGATATTCATTTCAATATTATTCTCTTGTATGAAGGCTTCAAATAAAAAAGGAACACAATATTTAGATAATTATATGTTGTATAGTTGTATATCTTTTGGAAAGCACCATATTTGACAATTGCCCAGTGAAATGGATCAAAAAATACTTAAGATAAGCACATCTCCCGAATGAACGAGATTATCAGTCGCCTCTATCTATCTAAACCAGTGTGTTTTGACACACAAATAGAATACCTAAGCAAGTAGGTCTCATCTAATCTGGTTACTTGATTTACAAATAAAACAACAATTACAAGTGTGAACAATCAAGTCTTTGCTCAAAATGTAAAGCCATTCACACAACATACAAATGACGGCTCAATCACGGTTCTGAATTCTGAGCAGGTCTCACAGCGCAACACTAAATAAATCATGTTAAGCTCAGAATCGCTAAACTCTCTTTGACTCTTTGACTATCAGTCCCCTGATCCAAATCAGCATCTTCCACAAAGGTTGACCTTTTCTGATGCCTAAAAGGTACAAAGGAGCACTTGATGCGCTGGTCTGTCATGTATAAGCAAACATTACATCCAAACAAACAAATAAAATCTTCACCACACAGCAGCTGCAACTACAGCATAGCTTGTAACCAACCAACATGTATGATTTACAGCTCAAAACTCACACTTGCTAATGTTTAACGTTCCGATGCTAGTCGAGTAAGAATGTCGATATCATTGATGACCCTCAAAATGCCACAGCAGACAGCAGAAAGTGCATTCACATTAGCAAAATTTTGCCGAAATTTCGCAGGGGAAAAACGGCCATTGCTTATGGAAAATAGTAGCCATGTATGTCGCACAGCTCAGATAAAGATCACTTTCAAACCAAGCTTTCTGAAACCCATTGCGACGTCTACAAGGGGAAATCTTTCACCCTCACACAAAATTCTCAAACATGAGACTTCACCCAAAAATTCAACCAAAAATTTGGTTAATGTGACCGCACTTGAAGGCTTATCAGACAAATGCCGGATGGTGTTGAAATCCTAAAAAATCAAATACTGAGGTGTTCAGGAGATAAGGTGCAGTCACATTAGCAAAATTTCTCGTCTATCATCAATAGTGAAACAATGTATGAAGAACATTTTGTGCAGAAGTCACTTTCAAACTAAATAGGTTTTTTTGTTGGTCAATGCGGCAAATCCATGAAATCTGCTGTGGGGAAATCTTTCCCCCTCATGTGAAATTACCAAACGTGTGAATTCCTATTAAAATTACTGCATTTTGCCCCGTGAAAAATCGCCGAACTACATTAAATGTGACTGCACCTTAAAGGGGTGGTTGATTGCGATTTCACTTTTTTTAACGTTAGTTAGTGTGTAATGTTGCTGTTTGAGCATAAACAATATCTGCAAATTTGCAGTGCTGAAAGTTCAATGCAAACGGAGATATCGTCTTTTAAAATTCTGGCAGTTTAATGCCTACAAAAACGGCTTGTAGGGACTACAACAAGCTACTTTCCGGGTTTGTGACATCACAAACCCTGATAAACCCTGCCCCTGGGAACATGCAACAAAGGGGGCGGGGCCATGTTGCGCTGATTTAGAGAAGAGGAAGAAAACTATGGGTGCACGTAAAACCTATTCATATATGAATCGCGATTCTGTCTTCTAGTTATTCTAATGGATTCACAAGTTTTAAAATCAATGTTCTAAAGCAGCGGTTCTTAATCCTCGCATCTCTCCGCTCTGTACATGTTCTTTCTCTCACTTTCTTATTCAGATCACCAGCTCAGCTCCAACAATAAACTGTTCCATTTATTCACTTATTTATTTTCACATAGCTATGGGAAACGTTAAACATGGACACGCGTGCGGTTGCCGTACTGTATTAAAGCTTTAATCAGATGAAAACCATACGTTATATTAAAAGCTAACAGAAGCAGTAGCATTTACAAATAACAGCGTATCTAAAAGTATGAGACAACAACAAACAAAAACATACCATTAAGAGCCGTGCTTGCACAGGTTCTGCGCAATCTTCTTCAATAATATCCTCTGCATCTCAATCGGGCTCAAACTGATAAGCAATATTGACAACGCCATTGTTTACAATACAACTGGAGCACATGCCGCTGAGGTGAGGGGCGGGACGTTTAGACGCGCACTAGAGGCGGATGAGCCAATCACAACATACTGGGCCAGCTAACCAATAAGAGCCCATCCTGTATTTCTGAGGGAGGGGCTTCATAAAAGCAGGAAATGATCAGCGCGTTTTTGAGGAGAAGGGACAGAGCGGTGTAGAACAAAGGTAAATTATGTGAAAAATAATGCTTTGTGTTTTAAAAACTAAGCATTAACACATGTTAGACTGCACCCCATAAACACAATTAAGCCTAGAAAAAAAACAGTCAACCACCCCTTTAACAGAAAGCTGCTTGGTTTGAAAGTGACTTCGGTGTGAGTGGTGCTTCATGCATCGCTACATTATTGATAATAGACAACAAACGTTTTTGCTCACAAAATTTTGTTGAAATTTCGCTAATGTTACGGCACCTATAAGCAGCAGCCATTATCTGCTGGAAGATCAAATTAATGATATATTATTAACAGAGTTCAGTCTGAAGACTTTTTATAGCACCTTACGTAGGCTGTTAAAATGCCTATATGTGGTGATTGGCCATTGGGTGGAGCTTAGCCATGAACCACATACCTATAACCCCTTTAACCTGTCAGTTGGAGGTCAAGGGTTCACCTTCACTTGCTTTTTGATTTGAATTATTTTCCCAGGCTGAAGAAACAGTATCATTTCAGCCATTTGATGCAGCTTTAGACATTTTTCAAATGTACAAGCTGACTGCACATCTGTACAAGTGATAAGACACAGAACATGCCACATCTCGTCTAACGGCCATTACATGCCCCTTGGACAATGGCTAGCACGCTAAAATGTACATTTGCCCAGGTATGTCTGTTCAGACAGTGAAAATACATGTCTTTCTGTAGAAAAGAAGCACCGTTGAATGATAGAAACACAATATAAACCTTTGGCCACTGGGAATAGCCCTCTCATCCCAAAGAGATTTTCCCCCAAGGGTCTTCACAGAGGAAAGAGACAGGCGCTGGGTTGCTGTTTCTGGTTGAACCCAAAAAACAAAACAAAAAACCTTGAAAATGGCCTACAAAGGCAGTAGATTTAATTTTTTGTCACTTAAATGGAAAAAAAAACAGGAACAAGCTTTAAGGAGCCCTATTAAGGCCAATGTATGCCTTTTTATGTAAGGGGGCATCGCATGTTGATGACAAAAATACTATAGTTTATTATGGCACAAAATCCTATCCTCCTCACAGTACAGTACAATTTTATAGTCTTATTGATTAAGGAAGCTGTAGTATTTTTGGCATTACTATAGTACTTTCCAAATAGAGCTTGATAACCAAGAGAAGTGAGGTTGGCATAAACTAAAAATGTCACGCACAGTAGTCACCAAGGTTTTGCTTCAGTGCAAGTTTGTGTTCAAAAAGTGTAGAAGGATATAGCAGCTTCTGTAATAGAGTATATAAAAATTGCATTGGAATGAAATGTTCCCTTATTCAAATGGTAGTCGCTGCCATCCAAGCCTGTGTCTCCGCCTGTACTGTAGCTTTAACAGATGAATTGTTGTGCTTGTAAAAGAGTGTTTCCATTTTCTCCTCAAATGTGGAGAATTAGCATTAGTATTAGTGTCTGAGTAGAGAACGCTAAACACATCTCAAACGCATGCATAATCATGTGTCATACCATCACTAACAGCCACGGTGTAGGGGTGCTAATATATGTTACAAATTCATATGCTTCCCTTTAAAACATGTGGGGTCAGTAAGATTTTTTAATACTTTTATTTAGCATGGACACATTTAAAATAATCAAAAGTGATAGGCATTTATCATGTTACAAAATATTTCTATTTCATTTCTACAAATAAATGCTGTTCTTTTCACCATCAAAGAATTGTGAAAAAATGTATCATGGGTTTCACAAAAATATTGAGCAGTACAATTGTTTTCAACATTGATAATAATAAGAAATGTTTCTTGAGCACCAAATCAACATATTCAAAAGATTTCTGAAGGATCAAGAGATTACTTTCAAAAACATCAGAAAATCTTACTGACCTCAAACTTTTGAATGGTAGTGTACATGGCACGTTTCATGGATGGTTTGCGAATACGTTCAAAATTTGCACTGTGGAATGTCATATTTGAAAATACAAACAAATGTTCGGATTGCTAACGTCTTCTGTATTTGTCAGTATAGCAGCACTGAGATTGTGGTGAGTTTGAGGTATACCTGTGAAAACCCTGTGATCTACTGTTGGCAGAATGAAACAGAAGCTTGACAGCTGTTCTCTTATCTAATGCACCATCTGATAAGAGTCACTAAGATGAAATGAGGCATACAAGATATTCTTTTTAATCTGCTCAACATGACGATCCTTCTGAATTTGAGGTAAATGGACTAGAGCAAAACCTTGGAACACAAGCATTTTCTTGTGATACATTAAGCGTAACGGAAAAGAGAAGAGGAGTAAACCATTGGATTCAGGGGTGGACGTGAAGACGTTGGCTGGCTGAGCAAAGGTGGAAGGAGCTCAGAGTTTGGGGAGAGTGTGGTCTGTAATCTCTGGGACTTCAGAGGAGAGTGGCGTGGTCTGGGTCTGCTGTGTCCATACTAGCCAAAATGGCTTTCTGGTCTTCTCGGGGCGGGCGGCGGTACAGCAGAGCGGAAAAGCGGGCATACGGGTCCTGGCGAGTCAACTTTTTCTTCTTCTTGCGGAGGTAGAGAGCTTCTTCTGGCTGGAGGACCTGAGAGGTGTGGGGCTGCTGGATCTGAGAGGGGGGCACACCTGTACAGAGAGAAAGACTGATGAGCACATGAGGACAGGTGTGCTAAAAGTGAGGAAACATGCTGCAGTGAGACACTAAGCTAAACCAGTAGCAAAAAATTTCAGGTCTCTCTGAGTGTCATCAAGCCTTAATATAGGACTTCATATTTAACATTCATCCAGTAACTGAAACCAGCGCTACTTTCATGCCTCTCGTATCACAAAACTGAGAATTTCAGTTTTAGTATTACTATTCTTACAGTGTTCGTTGATCCAGTTGTTTTTTTCTTAGTGGAAGCTTTAATATAATGTATACTAGCATTCAAAAGTCTGGAGTCAGTGAGAATGTTAAAGTTTTTGAAAGAAGTGTCTTATGCTCACCAAGCCTGCATTTCTTATGATCAACTTTGAAAACAGTTACGGCTGCTTCATATTTTTGTGGCAACTGTGAAAGATTTTTCTCAGGATTTTTTAATGAATAAAAATTTCTAAAGAACAACATTTATTTGAAATATATCTGTTGTAACATGTTTCTTTCTCTACTACTCAATCTTACCGACCCCAAACTTTTGAACAGTTGTGTACATTCCAAATAACATCAAAATATAGGTAACTCTTCACAATAAGGTTTCATTTGTTAACTATATTAGGTAACATGAACAATACCTATACAGTATTTATTAATCTTAGTTAATGTTAAGTTCAACATTTACTAATACATTATTGAAACCAAAAGTATATGTTAACATTAGTTCATGCACTGTATATATATATATATATATATATATATATATATACACAAACTATATTAGGTAACATGAACAATACCTATACAGTATTTATTAATCTTAGTTAATGTTAAGTTCAACATTTACTAATACATTATTGAAACCAAAAGTATCTGTTAACATTAGTTCATGCACTGTATATATATATATATATACACACAGAGAGAGAGAGAGAGAGCAAAAGCATACACACACATATATATATATATATATACTGTATATATAATTATAATATTTTGCTGCAAATTCATCTGTCACTTGATAAAGGCTGCGTCACTAAACCTAACCATGAACAAAATTACACAAGGTTAAAGAAAGTACAGATCACATTACGTTATCTTATGATAAACATTTGTTGCGTGCCAGAAATATGAAATTCATTTTATAATGTATTAGAATTTTAAATGACTTTTTTTGTAAGTGAAACAATTTGACTGCTGTGTTAATTGGGTTGCTACTTGTAAAATCTGGGTCATTTAGTGGAACCAGTTGAAAACCACTGCAAAAAACTTAATGTAAATCAACATTTTGTCAAGTAAATGTTTCTTACATTTTGCAGTGATAATGAAATGTTACAATGTGTGCATAAAGTATGGTATAAAGTATCATGAGCCTGGATAAATGAAGTGAATAATTTTGTTAAAAAGCAGTATACGGCACAGATCATCATCAGTACAGTGCCAGTGACCGCTTGTATTCTAGGAAAGAATACAATAGGAATTATTTTATAGTGTTAAAAGAAGCACTGAGAGCACTTCAATGCGGAGAACCACTGTTATGAAGAGTTTCTCTTAACACCACCTTCTCACACCTCAGTGCCCTACAAACATAAAATGCATCACTGACTCTGTATATTTTAAATGACCCGTGAGGAAAATGCTCCTTTTCCCGTAATAGATTATGCTCACACTTAATAAATATAAAAATGCATATTATTGCTCTGTTTCAAAACTAAGTATTGTATATGTATATGGCATATGAACTATAGTAGCTTGTGACTTGCTCCTCACCCATCTTTCGTCTGGTCTTGGAGTTGTTATTGTTGATGCCGATTTTCTTGGCTTTTTTCACTCGTTGATATCTCAGTGCTTCTATCCTCTCAGACCCTGCAGAGCCACTTGGTGCACCTCGACGTTTTCTGTGCAGGAATCAAAGAGAGGCAAAGCCATCACACATGGGAAGGGTAGTGCGGTGGCTCGCCATGTGTGTTAAACTGGTCATAGTAGTGATCACATGGCCTTTGATAAAGTTACTGCTGCCATAGGCCTACAGGCAACTCAGATTACCCATGAATCAACCAGGCATGGTCCAGTTTATCATGATAAGTATGATCCAAAACATTTATTTGAGAGGAAAGAGAGTTATATTTAAAGTTTTTTAGGTATTTCCTGCCAAAAATTACATTTTTAAATATATATAAAATGTAAATATTTTATATATCATTAGGAAATTATTTTTTTTATGTGTACAATACCTCAATATGGCAACATTATGTATCTGTTTAAAGAGACATTTTGAGAAATCATTACATAGATTGGGGTAATTACAATGGCTGAGCATACTTAAATACATAATAGAATAATACTGTAATGGTAAAGTACTTTTTAAAATATTAATTATAAAAACATTTACATATAAAAACTATCAATCCATCCCAGACGTTTAAGTTTGTATGTACAGTCTTCCCATCCAAATACAGAATGGAGGCACTTAAACCGGCAGTCCGCATACTCTGCCCCACACACACACACACACACAGCTCTCACTAGGCACAATAAAATAACAAAAATAGCATTATAGAAGGGCCGTCCTTCTGCTGAGGCTGCCGAGAGAAATTAAAGGCCATTAGTAGAGGGGGGAAATCACAGCTCAGCGACAAAGCATTGTCAGAAATGTGCTCATAGACATGAATACTGTCTACAATGGGCTTCACCATGCTGACAGGGGGAGAGATGGCGGGAGGGGAAATGGCTACTTGGGAACAGTCACATAATGAAAAATAAAACAAAGCACTTGGACAACAAATGTAACAAGAATTTAATCAGATATTTGTTTCTTTTTTCACTGAAGAGCAATATTTAGCAATGGCATGCATGGCAATTTGCACATGGAACAGAACTTTAAAGGGGAATACTCTGGAAAAGCACTTCATTGGCTGAAAGCCACAACTTAAAAAGCTTTTTCTGCTTTAAAGAGCAGAACAAACTTAAAGAACATTTTCTGGTGCCAATAGTACTTTCCCCATTGTAAAGGAAGTGCAGGAACCGTTTTGGAAGAAAACTTGCTTCGCATGATTGTGAAATGTGTTCTGCGGTCCAAATTTACACAAAACAAGTGCAGTTTTATGCATACACTGCGTGTACACTAGATCAATCATGATTATACAAAAAAAATGAGAATTTCATTATACAAGGTGTCTGTGCAAGTCTCATGGTTTTTAAATCACTTGAATTACTTTCAAGCAATAAAAAGCTCCTATACCTAAAATGAAGTATAACATGCAACTCCTGCTTGAGACGGTCCCTAACAAATGGTCAGCTTTATCCACGTTGAGTTCAAATTCCCAGCTACTGCAAGTAGTGTTTGTGTTGTCATTTAATATAAACCTTCTTTTAGAAGCACATTTATTTTATAAACAGGAATTTTACCAGGAAGGTTACCCTAAATGGCGAATTCTCATAAAATCAATATTATAGCTCTGTTCTTGACATTTTTTTAATTTTTATTGCATCTCAAGCATGAGGTTGTGTTGATTAAATGAAATGTGCTGGGTTTCCTAATCAATAACTGGGAAACGTAAATATGCATACTAAGACCAGAATGCATATAGGGTTCAAGACTGCAGAACTAAAATATGTGGCTATCAGAAAACAAATGTTGAGTTCAAATTCCCAGCTACTGCAAGTAGTGTTTGTGTTGTCATTTAATATAAACCTTCTTTTAGAAGCACATTTATTTTATAAACAGGAATTTTACCAGGAAGGTTACCCTAAATGGCGAATTCTCATAAAATCAATATTATAGCTCTGTTCTTGACATTTTTTTTAATTTTTATTGCATCTCAAGCATGAGGTTGTGTTGATTAAATGAAATGTGCTGGGTTTCCTAATCAATAACTGGGAAACGTAAATATGCATACTAAGACCAGAATGCATATAGGGTTCAAGACTGCAGAACTAAAATATGTGGCTATCAGAAAACAAATATTTAAAAAAATCAGTAAACTTGGTAATAATCGAAAGGAAAGCAAGACCCAAAGAGATGTATTCCCCTTTAAAGGATGAGATGAATAAAAGCCCCACCTGCTGCCCCCCCCCTTTCAGACATGGATCCAACCCTTACCTATTGCGGTGTAGAAGACCTGGTCACAACAACGCTGCCCAGATAGCTGAGATCAATCAAAAACAAAGCAGGTAAGACTCGAGGAGTCATCAAGAATGACCAAATGCCCTATTTAAGATGATTGCGACATAGCAACAGATGAGAGCAGACAGTCCCTGCAACACGTTTCGCCCAGCAAGCCACCCCTGGCAGTCAGAGCTGGGGTGACCTGGGTGACAGGAGGCAGGAGAGAGGGGGGAGTGTTGAAAAGGCAATCATGCTGTCAGGTTACTTTGGAACAGGAGAAGAGCCCTGTGCCTGTTGTACTGGACACACCAACCTCAGCCTCTACATCATGCATTCTGAGAGTCGTCCTAAAAAGCCTGGCGTTAGTCAAAACAGTGGGCTTCATTTGAACTGGGATTGGCCAATTTTATTGCACATGTGGGGTTCCTCCTGTTGGGTGAAAGGCACGGTAAAGCATGACAGTGAATGGAAAGGCTGAGATCCTGTGGTGGTGTACCTCTGATTCCAGGCTTTTTAGGGGCTTCGTTATTTTATTTTAAATCAACTTAAAATGGAACTTCTCCAGACACGTAGCCCTAAAAGGTCTGTCACCACGTCTGTGAAGCAAATAATTCATCTTGACTTGACTCGGTTACCCCTCAGCAACATTTGGTTAATGTCGCTCACTTTTGATCTAAGACAAGTGCTTTAAAGTGCTTCACAGACCTTATGAATGAAATTGGATGCCTGACATGAAAAGCAGAATTAGTGGCATAGAAAACTATTGCACAACTTGTCTATGTAGAAAATAGTTTTTAAATGGTTTTGAATAAAGCAAGGCATCTGGGGCAGTGTATCTATGAAAGCATAAGTTCTAACATTACTAAAACCAGCTTAAGGCAAGCAGCAAACATAATTTTGCCGATGTGTGCAAACTGTAGCTTTAGACTAAAATCAAAAGTGTGGTTATTTAAAAGGGTCCTAGATGTTACACTTAGGCCAGATGGTACATGGTTTATCAATCCACACACTACAGGCCTAGTGCACCTACCCTGAAGCTGATAACTGGGGTGGAGAGGGTTCTGATGGAAGGATCTCCTCCTCAGTCCTCCTCTGGGTTGGCATCTGCCCAAAAATGTTGCTGCTTTCTACAGGAGGTGAAGGGGATTGTGACGGATAGCTTGCTGCTGAGGTGGCAAATGCCATGTGGGATCGGTAGCTGGGACTTGCTCTTCGGCTGCCTTGGCCTTGAGCAGGAGAGGAGGAGGGGGTGGACCTTCTAGAGAAGCTAGCTGAAGAAGGAGGCTGAAGGGTGATCTCAGACATCTCTGGAGGGATCGGGGGTTGGATGACACTGGGACGGGGCCTGGGGCGTACTACAATCTCCGGTGAGCCTTCATGAGAGCTAATAGGGCTCTGAGTTAGAGGTGAGAGGCGGGATGGCTGGAGAACTACCATGCTGGGTTCCATCCTACGGGGCTGCCTTGGGCTAAGCCTGGGTGTAAGCTCGTACCATCGGGTATCCAGGCTTCCGAATGAGCTTGGGCCAACCATGTGAGACACTGGGTCAGGGTAAGGCAATACCGGTACACCCATACCGTGGCTTGTGTGTCTTAGCTGCCCTAGACTCTGTGCCTCTTGCATAGGTAAACGCTTGGCTGGAAGGCCATGAGGCTTGACCTTGCTGGGAGACTTGCCTGGGCGGCTCTTTGGGGCCTCCAGCTGCAGGATACCAGGGTAAGGAGATACTTGAAGGGTGGAGGGCTGGAGGGCACTAGGAGGAAGAACAAGAGGGGGAGGAAGGGGAGGTTCCGGATGAAGATGCAAAGGGTGTGGGGGTTTTACTTGAAATGATTGCTATCATTGTTAGTAAGTTAATTAACTGTTTTCTGGAAATTTTTTGACATACATTTGAAACATTTCTTAAGATAAGATTCTTAAGAATGTAACTGCTTTTTTAGCATTAACCAGAATGATTGCTTAAGTGGTATGTTTACTTTAAGGTCATAATCATGTGAGCTAAAAGTAACCTATTATTTAGATTATTTGCTTTTTAGGCATCTTTATGTTACTTTACATATTAAAAACAATCAGTAATCTTCAAATCAGATTGAAAATATCTAGGACACAGGTCATGAGAATAATTACACGATTATTTTGGGCCCCATAAAATAGCACCCTGAAATCTAAGAGATGATTACAATGAGTCTGATTGTTGGTTGTAATTTCCACTCTTTCTTCTGGATATATCTTGTCATAACTCATCCTTGTTAAGGCCTTATACTCTTCAGTCACCACTGTTTGAATGTAATAACTAATTCAGTTTTAACAGTATTGTTTTCTCAAGAAATGGGTTTAGTGTGTGTGTGTGTGTGTGTGAGAGAATGGTAGACATCACAATAGGAGTCCTCATTAATCATAGATGGTGACATTTTCCTAGATATTCAACTGAGAGTATTTATGTGACCAAACAACGAGAAATAACAAGCATAGTCCAGAAAAGAAGAGAGCCATATGAAAATGTTGGAGACATAATACTTTATTCAGTAACAAATATACATGTAATGGCTGAAGCTTTGTTTTTGCTGAATCATTACACCATGCACTTTCGCTTGTAATGGTTGCGGTGATGGAACTTGGTTTCCATGGCAACTGCCTACTGATGACCACCATTCAGGTGCAATGACGTTATGCCTGCTCCAAGCAACAATACAGTGCACCATAAAGCAGGCTTTCCCCCAGCCAAGCAGAGGGAACACACAATACACACTCTTTAGCAAAAGAAAGTCCCCAACAAAGAAACTTCCCACCATTGTTCTAACAAATGTTTAGAGGCATAATATAAAACATGTCTGTTAAAAGAATGAAAAAAAAACTAAATATACAGACAGGTTTGATCGGACATTGATTTGCTTGTCAGCAAGACTGTGCTTTCATTTTGCAAGAGTAAACATGTTTTAGATAAAAAACAATGATAAAACATCAAAGATTCAGTGTGTGTTTTAGGTGTAATTATCCTTATAAGCTGATCGTTTCAAGTTGTTGTCCTACTAAATGTTGTGATGTAAGATAATGACCTCAGGATTGCAGACACGAAGATGGTATCAGACCTTATAGAGGCCACCAAAATAAACCTTTTCTGGCTTTACTTGTCCTTCCATGCTAATTTCTCCTAAACTTTATAACAACCTTCAAACTGAGACTCGATTCAGATTCTATGGCACATGGAAAATTCATACAAACATGTTGCTATTTTAGGTCACACAATTCAAAATCTTTCTGGACTAATTAAGCTGAACATTTAAGAATGATTGTCAGGCAATATAGTACCACAGTTAATACAGTTTTTGGCACAGAATATCTCATTAAAAGCTCAATCTACTATTACCATTCACTGTAAAAAGCAATTACAAATAACAACACAAAGTGCATAAGCTTCACAATGTGCCAGGACTGTGCAGTGTTTACCATTTATATAAGTTAAATCCACCAACAAAACAATACTGTAACAAAAAGCAATCTGAATGCAGGAACACCCGCTGCTGCACGTTAACCTCTGGTGTGCAAGGGTGTGTTGGTGACATACAGGCAGTGGTTCAAGTGCTTGGGAGGGAGAAATCTGAAACAAACATTATGGAGGTGATTAAGACACATGAAAGAGAGTGCAGGCCAGCCCTTGGCAGCCTGTGGGCTTAATGTGTGCAACGTTATTTAAACTACTATAAATGTGTGGTAGCACAAAAGTTCACATGCAATGCATTATGTAGA